TGTTTTTATAATTTTATTGTATTTTAATCTGTGTTAATTCGTTTTTATGGAGTCGTCCCTGGCCATGTCGACGTTTGTGTTTCCTGGGTAGCGCGGGGGCGCCGCTATTGGGGTGGTCATGGTCAATGGACGTAATAGTGGTGGGGACTTAACGTGTCCGCATAGAAGAAGGAGGGACAGATGGTTGACACCTGTCCCTCCTTCTGGTTTTGCCCCCAGCCAGAGGGTTCCAGGTAGTCTTGTCAACTGCCCCTCGGGCCTGATGGTGCTGCTGCTCAATGCCAGGTCGGTCAACAATAAATCTTCCCTCATCCATGACTTGATTGTGGATGAGGGGGCCGACTTGGCTTGCATAACGGAAACCTGGGCGGGAGAGGGGGGGATGTCGCTCTCTCTCAAATGTGCCTGCCCGGGTATCTGGTTCAGCACTGTTCATGCCCGGAGGGGAGGGGGGGTCGCTTTGGTTTACCGAGCCTCCATCTCTCTCACGGGACTTCCGGTCCGTTCGAGACCAGGGCTGGAGTGCCTCTACTTGGTGTTGGGCGACCGAGACAGATTGGGGATTCTGTTGATGTACCGTGCACCCTTCTTCCCAACAGTCTCCCTGCCTGAGCTGACGGAGATCGTCTCAGACCTGGTGTTGAGGACCCCCAGAATGTTGGTCCTGGGGGACTTCAATCTCCATGCCAAGACTGGTCTGACCGAGGCGGCTCAGGACTTCATGGCCTCCATGACGGCCATGGGGCTGTCTCAACATGTCACCAGCCCGACCCATGAAGGACCCACTCTGGACCTTGTTTTCTCGACAGGGCAGGAAGAGGGTGGTCTGAGGGTGAGGAATTTATGTTTGACTCCCCTGTCATGGTCAGATCACTTCCTGGTGAGGTTTGTGCTTGAGAGCGACCTCTCCCTCTGCAAGGGTGTGGACCCGATTGTGTGGGTCCGCCCCCGGAGCCGGATGGATCCAGATGGATTCCTGAAGGCCCTGGGGGAGTTTCCGGCTGACAAGACTGGAGCTCCTGTCGAGGCTCTGGTCGAACTGTGGAACGGGGAGATGACCAG